ACGAGGTGCCCTGCCTGGTCGGCACGTGCGGCATCATCTGCTACCCCACGATGGCCGTGTGCAAGACGCTCGGCGACATCAAGGGTGGGGGCGGCGAGGACGGCCCTCCGGCTGAGCAGGTGGGCTGAGGTTCCCGAGGGCGCCACATCCAGACATTCCATGGTCCATGACGCCGCTCTGCCTGCTGATGCAACCAGCGTGGCCAATGCGGCAACGCAGCCACACGTGCCTCCTCGCTCGAACGCAGAACGGCACCAGGCTATGTAGGACCTTACCTATCTATGTGCTTTTGTCAGTTTCGGGCCGGCGCGTTCGGCAAGTTCCGCCGCCGTGCCCCACTGGCATAGTAAAATTCCGAGGCGCCTCTTGCAAGGCCCGCCGCCGTACCAACGCAGCACGGAGCGCGGCCACCCCAGAGGACCGCCCGCGCGAGGGAAGAAACACGAAGGCCTCAACACAGATCAAGAGGTGCCCAAGAAGCCCTTCAGGTCAGCCCGGGGAGGCCCAGGCAGTTGATTCCCCTGAGGTGCTTGCAGGAGTTGTGGGTCCTGGCGTGCTTGGGCCTCCGACCGCCCAGGACAGCCCTGGCCCTAGAGGCTTCTCTGGGCCGCGGTGCGATTCTTTGGGAAAGCTTCAATGCCGTCGTGGGCACTCCTTGAGAGCCCCATGTTGTCTTCTTGGGCCGACTTGGGGCCATTCTGTGGAGGCTTTTGGGCTGTCTAGGAGCTATCTTGAAGTCCCTCTGGACGCCCCGGAATTCGATGGTTTGGCTCTCGTCAGGCTCTCCAGGAGAGCCTCTTGGGCCGTCTTGGGGGCCTCTTGCTCTGCCTGATGGTTCCCTTGAGGCTGTCTCGGGAGCCTCTTGGGCCAGCTTGGGCCATCGTGGCGTCGTCCTGGCTGGGCTGAAGGCCGTCCTGGAGGCCGTGAGGTTCCCAAGAAGGCCTCAGAAGAGATTCCCGTGGCCATTCTGGCTCAAGCCTTCTTGGTTCCAGGCGCAGGATACCACCCCGGCGAAGGCATCTGAGCTTCCACAGCTTGCTAGAGATCGCTCAAGCAGCCATGGGCGGGGACGGTGACGCCCTCGACAACGACGCGATCATGGTCTGCGACGGGTGCTGCTGCTGCTACGACGGCCTGCTCTTTGGGGACGGGTGCGTGGGGTGCATGGCGAGCGAGACCCTGTGCTGCCTGGAGGTCGAGTACTGCTGCAAGTCGGGCGCACCCACGCTCTGCTGCGTCTGCTGCGCCATTCGCTGCGTCTCGCCCACCGTGTGCATCAAGTCGCAGGGCCAGATGTGCTGCCTCGCTGGGGCAGCCGCCATCCCCTGCGACGACGAGGTGCCCTGCCTGGTCGGCACGTGCGGCATCATCTGCTACCCCACGATGGCCGTGTGCAAGACGCTCGGCGACATCAAGGGTGGGGGCGGCGAGGACGGCCCTCCGGCTGAGCAGGTGGGCTGAGGTTCCCGAGGGCGCCACATCCAGACATTCCATGGTCCATGACGCCGCTCTGCCTGCTGATGCAACCAGCGTGGCCAATGCGGCAACGCAGCCACACGTGCCTCCTCGCTCGAACGCAGAACGGCACCAGGCTATGTAGGACCTTACCTATCTATGTGCTTTTGTCAGTTTCGGGCCGGCGCGTTCGGCAAGTTCCGCCGCCGTGCCCCACTGGCATAGTAAAATTCCGAGGCGCCTCTTGCAAGGCCCGCCGCCGTACCAACGCAGCACGGAGCGCGGCCACCCCAGAGGACCGCCCGCGCGAGGGAAGAAACACGAAGGCCTCAACACAGATCAAGAGGTGCCCAAGAAGCCCTTCAGGTCAGCCCGGGGAGGCCCAGGCAGTTGATTCCCCTGAGGTGCTTGCAGGAGTTGTGGGTCCTGGCGTGCTTGGGCCTCCGACCGCCCAGGACAGCCCTGGCCCTAGAGGCTTCTCTGGGCCGCGTTGCGGTTCTTTGGGAAAGCTTCAATGCCGTCGTGGGCACTCCTTGAGAGCCCCATGTTGTCTTCTTGGGCCGACTTGGGGCCATTCTGTGGAGGCTTTTGGGCTGTCTAGGAGCTATCTTGAAGTCCCTCTGGACGCCCCGGAATTCGATGGTTTGGCTCTCGTCAGGCTCTCCAGGAGAGCCTCTTGGGCCGTCTTGGGGGCCTCTTGCTCTGCCTGATGGTTCCCTTGAGGCTGTCTCGGGAGCCTCTTGGGCCAGCTTGGGCCATCGTGGCGTCGTCCTGGCTGGGCTGAAGGCCGTCCTGGAGGCCGTGAGGTTCCCAAGAAGGCCTCAAGTCAGATCCAGTGGCCTCCAAGACGGCCAAGAGGTACCCAAGAGGCCTTCCGGGAGCGTTCGAGGAGACCCAAGCAGTTGATTCCCTTCAGGTGCTTCCAGGATTTTGAGGTTCTGGCATGTTTGGGACCGCCCAGGACAGCGCAATAGCCTCTCTGGGCCGTCTTGGCGCTTTCTTGGGGCGCTTCAAGGCCGTCCTGGGCCCTTTTTGGGCGCCCCGTGGGTCCTGTTGGGCCGACTTGGGGCCCTCTTGGGGGCTTATTGGGACGTCTTGGAGCTATATCGGAGGCCTCTTGGAAGCCTCTTGGGCCGTCTTTGGTGGTCGGAAAACCGAAGGCGCGAGAGCCTCACAGTCATTTAGACAATTATGGAACGTCAACGGTTTTGGTCCCCTCGACCTCTCCAGGAAGGTCTCTTGGAGCTCTCTTTGGCCGTGTTGGCTGCTTCACTGAACCGTCTCGAGGCCCTCTTGTGCTATCTCCTTGGGGCTGTGTTGAGAGGCTCTTGAGCTGTATTGGGCCATTGTGAGCCGTTTTATTGTCGTCTCGGTTGTTTTGGAAGCCGTCTTGGAAGCCATCTCTGCCGTCAAGAGGCCGAACAAAGCGTTAGACAACAATTTCAGAAGGGGCGTTGCTTTAGGCGCGCGCGCGTCGAGGGAGGGTGTCCCTTACAACTCCTTAAGTCGAGCAGACAGCCGACGCGCATGAAAAAAAGAGCGCTAGCGAGAGAAGCGCTGTACAGGGCTTTAGCTCCAATGGGGGGGTGTCCGGCGGGGGGGGAGGACCGCGCAGATGTTTCGAACACGCCCTCCATGTTGTTGTTGTTTTTTCGGCCCAGGGCGGTCCAAGAGACACCCAAGAAGCTCCCAAGACGGCTTAAGACATCTCCCAGGCGGCCCACGAGACGCCCAAGAGGCCCCGCGACGACCCAAGAGCGTTCCAGGAGGGGCGACGGTGGCCCCGAGACGGCCTCAAAAGCCCCCCAGACGCTCCAAGAGGCCCCCACGAGGACCTCCAAGAGGGACTCAAGAGGCAAAAACAATGGATTTCCCTCAGGCATTTGACGGTTCTTGGGGTTCTCGCTTTTTCGGGTCAAAAACTGCCAAATACGCCCTCTAGGGCCTCCTCGCCCCAACGCGTTCCCACAGGCTCCCTAGAGGGCCTGATAACATTCCAAGAGAGCTTCACGACGGCCCACGACAGCCCCAAGACGGGCCAAGGAGGGCCCCACAGAGGCCCAAGAGGCTCCCAGGAAAGCTCCAATAGGGCCACAGGAGGCTTCCAAGAGGGCACCGCGGGCGCCCCGAGCTGGCCCAAGCCCAGCAAGAGAAGGAGGAGGAGGAGGAGGAGGAGGAGGAAGAGGAAGAAGAGTCCAAGAGGGGCACAGGACGGTCCAAGAGGGCCCCCGGACGGCCCAAGAGGGCCCCCAAACGGCCCCGAAGACCCCCTCAGAGGCCTCCAAGAGGCCTTCCAGCTGCTTCGCCGAGCCTCCGGCGGCCTTTTGGGGACTTCGGAGGGTCGCCTCGCTGCCACAGCTGGAGGCAGATTGGAGAACATCCGCGCGCGAACACTTCGAGGGGTCCTGGACCGATTGTGACCAGATTTCGCCGTTGCTGTGTTGCCGCCCTCTTCCTTCGGAAGTTGATCGGCCTCCTACCCTGACACGTCGATTATCGAATTGGCCGCTTTCGGTTCGCGATAGGGTCGCGCGGCCGTCATCTTTGCGGGTCCAGCTCCGTCGGTGTCGGTCCTAGGCCGTTTTCACTAAAGGGTGGTTCACGAAAGGGAGGTTTGTCCACCGCCGATTCCTCATCCCTGCTTCCCCTCTTCCCCTCTTCCCATTGCGCTGTCCAAACCAGCTTTCATGCCGCGACTCGCACTCCAGTTTGCTGCGGCATTGATGCATGGCGATCCTATGTCCAGATCGTTGCCGCGTGAACGGCCGTCGAACGCTTGAGACCATGTGACACTTCCGCTCCACAGAACCGCTCTTTCCGTTCCCGTGCTGGCCCAGGTTCTAACACGCCCACTCCGTGCAGGCACGGTGGTGGATGTATTTCGAAGGTCGAGGGATGGAGGAGCAGGAGGAGGATTCAGAAACCAGGCGATGGCTGGCAAACCCGTGGCTGCAAAAACGAAGCTCTGGGAAATTATTGTCTTCTTCTGGGAAGCAGCCCATGGGCTATTTAGCGCGTTGAATTGTGTTATGGTAATTGTATTTCTGTTACGGGGGTATTGTGATTTGCCAGCCCTCGCCCAGCTTCTGAAGGATGGAGGAAAGGGGATGGAGGGAGGGAGGGAGGGAGGGAGGGACATGGGAGGGAGGGACATGGGAGGGAGGAGGGAGAAGGTGGAGGAGGAGGAGGACGAGGAGGAGGTGGAGGAGGTTGAGGAGGACGGTGAACACGAGGAGAAAGAGAGGGAGGAGGGAAAGGGAGGAGGAGGAGGAAGAAGAGGAGGAGGAGGAGGAGGAGGAGGAGGCGCAGGAGGATGAGGAGGAGGAGGAGGAGGACAACGACGACGACATCGACGACATCGACGACGAGGGAGGATGACGACGAGGAAGGAGAATGAGGACGAGGAGGACGAGGAGGAGGAGGAGGAGGACGACGGCGACGAACACGACGAAACAGGAGGAGGAGGAGGAGGAGGAGGAGGAGGAGGAGGAGGAGGGTCGGCGGAGAAGCCCCCCCCCCTCACCTCCCCCGCAGCCCCCCCGCAGGAGCGAGGACCACCCGGCCGCCAGCCGGCCCGTGCCGAGCACCGCGCCGGGCGCGCTCCCGGCGCCGCCCCCGGCCCCCTCGCCGCGCGACCTCCTGGCGGGCCTGCCTTCCATTGTGGAGTGGCGGCCCTCCCCTCCCCTCCCTCCTCCCTCCCTCCCTCCCTCCCTCCCTCCCCTCCCTCCCTCCCCCTCCCTCCCTCCCTCCCTCCCTCCCTCCCTCCCTCCCTCCTCCGTAGCCATTTTGGCTCAAGCCATTTTGGCTCAAGTATCGCAACCACGCTCGAGCCTGGCGACGTGCATGCCGTGGGCGCGGCCGGGCCGGGCGCCGGGACGGACGGCGCTATGGCGGACTGAGAGACCGTCAGCAAGTGGCGGTGCCTGTGGCGGCGGCAGGCTGGCCTGGCGAAGCGGCAGCATGGCACGCAAGCGTCGCACCCGGGCCCAGAGCGCTTGGTCGACGGCGGCAGGGCCTGCGCAGCCGCGGCAGCTGCGCGGTGCGAGTGTTGCCGTGCCCCAGACCTGCGGCACTGCGGAGCCCAAGCAGAAGCCGCACACGCTCTGCACAACGGACGAAGAGAACAGCATCATCAATGAGTTCCTCGCGGGACTTCTTGAGCCTGGAGGTGATGCTACCCAACGGTTCCACATCGGCGACGGCGAGCCCGAGGTGTACGAGCTGGATTGGGCCACGTTTGTTCCCGCCGAGTGCGTGGGCGCCGAGCATGAGACCTTCATCAACGAGGGCGGCTTGGACATCAATGATGACAGCGGCTCCGAGTGCGAGGCCCGCGGGGATTGCAAGATTGCCGAGCATGATACCTTCATCGACGAGGGCGGCTTGGACATCAATGTCGGCGAGTTTGAGGCTCACGTCGACGACAGCGGCTCCGAGCGCGAGGCCCACGGGGATTGCAAGATTACCGAGCATGCGATCTTCATCGACGAGGGTGGCTTGGACAGCAAGGTCGGCGAGTTTGAGGCCCACATCGACGACAGCGGCTCGGAGTGCGAGGCCCACGGGGATTGCAAGATTCTCGACAGCAGCTTCGACAAGGTCGACATGAGCAACGGCTACGGCGTGACCTACGAGAAGCAGACCATGGCGGAGTGCATCGCCGAGCTGTCCGAGAGGAACGGCGCCATCAGCATCTCTGGTGGCGGGGCTTCCGTGTCCGCGGTGAGCTGCGCGAGCGAGGTGGCGAGCAAAATCGTCGGTGGCACCAAGCTGGTCGACTCTGACGACGAGGGCCTTCGTCAGGGAGTTGGCGGCACCAACAAGCTGGAGTACGACTTCGGCGTGGCGGCCGACGAGAGCCCGCAATTCAGCAATGGCACCTGCGACGTGGCGGACTGCATCGCCGAGCTGACGGAGAAGAACGGCACCATTTGCTTCCTTGGTGGCAGGGACTCCGTGTCCGCGGAGAGCTGCGTGAGCGAGGTGGTGAAGGATATCGGCGTCGGCAGCGACCAGTTCGACGAGCTCGCGGAGAGGTTCCTCAAGGAATCCAAAGCCGAGTACGAGTGCGAGATGACGAGGCTTGCGATGCTGTGACACGCGGGCTTGCAGAGCTACGTCGAGAAGCGGGGCCAGGACAGCGACGTCAACCTGTCCGTCGAGGGCCTCGCCGCCAGCGCGAGCGACGTGGGCTGCAGGATCAGCCTGGACCTCGAGCGGCGCATGGAGAAGTTGAAGAAGGCCATCCTCGTGGACGACATCGGGGTGGCCAACGACGATGCCATCGAGGACAGCCCGTCCCGGAGGCCTTCGTCAAGGTCGGCGTGGGCAGACCCTGAGGTTTAACTCAGGGTCGGCCTCCCTGAGGGGGCCGCCGCCCGCCGCGCGCGGGGGCGCGGGACACTGCGTCCCTTGGCCTCCCGACTCCCGACTCCATCCCTCCCTCCTCTGGTCCCTCCCTCCCTCCCTCCTCCCACCCCCCTCCCTCCCTCCCTCCCTCCATGCGGACTCCTGCCAGGTTCGCGAACGCTGGAAGTCGTGTTCAAACTCATTCGTATGCATATGCACGTTCACGCCCACTCCGTTTCACGCACGCTCGGGGACACTCACGCACTCCAGCCGGGTTCGCCCGTGAACTTGCGAGGCGCTACAATCAGACCCACTCGCAGATTGTGAGGATGTCTCGAGCGAAACGCTGGTTTCAGCACCCCAAGGGGGAGCCACCAGGGGTGGTTGCGCGGTTGCGTTCGCGACCAGACTGCGGGGATTTATCGAGCGGTTTGCCTGTTTGGTTGCCCAGGCTCCTCGGCTTTCATAGCAGATCATGAGAATGTCTCGAGCGGCGCGCTGGCTGCGGCACCCCAAGGGGGAGCCCTGAGCCGCCAACGGTGGTTGCACGGCCCCGTTCGCGGCCGAGATATTTGAAGCGTTTTGCCTGTTTGCTTGCCCGGACTCCCATGCTTTCGGGGAGGTTGTGAGGATGTCTGGGGCAGCGCGCTGGCTGCGGCACCCCAATGGGGAGTTGCCAGGGGTGGTGGCACGGCCCCGTTCGCGCCGAGACTGGGGATATCTCAGGCGGTCTGCCCGTTTCGTTGCCGCATTTTTTCTCTTGTTATCGAGCAGACCGTGCGGATTGTCTCCTACCAGGCGTTGGTTTTAGCAGCCCGACTGTGGCCTGCCAGGGGTGGTTGCACGGTTCCCTTCGCGGCCAGATTGTGGGGATTTTTCCGGCGGTTTGCATGCCTGGTTGCCCAGACCCTTCTGTTTCCAGAGGAGATCGTGAGGACGTCTCGAACGAGGCGCTGGCTTCAGCACCCCAAGGGGGAGCCGCCAGGGGTGGTTGCCGTTCGCGGCCAGACTGTGCGGATTCGGCCCAGCTTCTTTTGTGCTGTCAGACCAGACTGTGAGGTTCCTCGTCCCCCCCACCTTCCTCCCTCCGCCCCCGTGGCCTGTGGCCACGAGGGACGTGTCGAGGTATCAGTATCATCTCCTCTGAGATGGGACGCCCAGAGAGGCACGGAACTCAGCGTGGACCCCTTGAGGTCTCGACCCCCTTCCCAAGAACGAGCTTCATCCCGAGTCTTGCGCTGACTTTCCCAGGCCCCGGTGAGGGCCGGAGGCCGGAAGTTGCCAAACCCTTCCCGTCGTGATTTTTCCCCACGGCGAGGACCCTGAGATCTCACTCGCGAAAAATCACGACCGCAGTCTTAGACCTTTTCTTCCGATTGCTTTCGGACTGGAGCGACCTGGGAGGGTCCCTGGGCCCGAGACAAGGCATCATTACCCGTTGTGCAAGTATTCGACGCGGAGATCTCTATATGTGCATCTCGTTCCCTAGCTTTTTCCGTCGTGAGTGTCTGGGTGTGGGAGTGAATCCGAGTGGACAGCTACGACGACGACGACGAAAACGACGATGACGACCACCTTGGAAGGGACGAAGAAGAATGACGACGATGATTCACAGACAGACAAGCGGTGAGCAGGCCCACTCCCCTCTGCTTCCTCTGCCTCCGCGTTGTAGCCCCTCCCTTCTCTTCCGCCCTCCTCCCTTCTCCCCTGCGTCCTCCCTTTTCTGTCCTCTTTGGCGGCCCTCCTTCTCCTTCCTCGTGCGTCCTCCTCCTCCTCCTCCTTCTCCTCCTCCTCCCTCCTACTCTTCCTCCTCCTCCTCCTCCTCCTCCTCTTCCTCCTCCTCCTCCTCCTCCTCCTCTTCCTCCTCCTCCTCCTCCTCCCTCCTCCTCGTCCTCCCTCCTCGTCCTCCCGCCTCCCTCCTCCTCCCTGGCGGCCGCCCCTGGCGGCCTCGTCCACTCTCCCCCCCCTGTCGTAGCCACGTCCTTCTCTGCCTCGCTCCTCCCCCCTCCCTCCTCCCGCCTTTTCTCGCAGGCCTAGAGGTTGACACCAACCCCAATTTCGGCGGTGTGCCTCCACCAAGGGAAGAAGATCCCGATCTCGGGGATGGTGGTAATATTCTGGCTCCCAAGGCGACCGAAATATCACCACCACCGAAATCTAGGATCACCTGCCCCCTGTGGAGGCAGCCCCCTGTGTTGGTGTTGGTGCCAATTTCCAGACCTCCAATCTTCCCCGTTCATCCCCCGTCCTCCACCCCTCCCCCCTGGCGGCCGTCCTGCTCCCCGCAGCGAGGCGAGAGGAGCCGGAGGCGCAGAGCGAGCGCCTCGCGCGGTGAGCAGCCGGCCTTGACTCGCCTTGCGTCGGTTGCGTAGCTAACCTTCCCAGAATCCCGAGTGATTTCTGATATGGGGTCCATGTCGGATACCTGTCTAACTTTTTGTAAGGAGGTGGATTCCATGGGGCTTGAGTCTTGAGTCTTGAGGAGGAGGAGGAGGAGGAGGAGGAGGAGGAGGAGGTGGATGAGGAGGAGTGGGGGGGGGGGAGGAGAATGAGGAGGAGGGGCGCGGTGTCGTAGGAGCATGGGGGAGGAGAAGGAGGAGGAGATGGAGGAGGAAGAGGAGGAGGAGGAGGAGGAGGAGCAGGAGGAATAGCGCGAGGAGGTGGGAGGATGCGGATGCAGATGAGGAGGACGCCAGAGGTGTAGGATGTGGAGGAGGAGGGGGAGGCGGAGGAGGAGGAAGGAAGGAGGGGGAGTACGTGGGGGAGAGCGACGGGGGAGGAGGGGGAGGAGGGAGGATGACTCGCCGTGACGAGGATGCTGAGGAGTAGCGGAACGAGGCGGAGTCGCAGGGGGAGGTTAGGGCATGCGCGACCTGAGATGTCGCACCTGGACACAGGACAACACACAGAGCAATCGTCCCCCCTTTCCCCCTCTGCTCATCCCTCTCATAAACCTTCGGAGGTCTGCGCGGATTCCCTGGATCGGCGCTGGAACCCCCTCCGAGCCTCCCTGTCGCGCCGAGCGTGCCAGGGGTGGCACTGGAGGCGCCGTCAGGGGGGGCCCCATTGGACTCCCCTGGGGGGCTGCAAACGCGTGCGGCCGCAGAACCAGGGCCCCAGTGGTGCAGATTAAGGCAACTGTTGCCAACAGTTTGCAAAACCCAGCACCGTCAAAAACAGAATGGCCCAATCTGTGTATTTCAAGTTCGTATGCTCGAGTTTGCCAACAGCGCGATCGTCACCTGGTGGCTGAACGTACTTGCAATGGTTGGTCCGCGCTTGAGATTCATCCCGAAGTCCCAGGAGGTCCCCCGAGATCTCCGGAGGGCCTTCCCCCGCGGGAGCTCCCCGGAGGCCTGCGGAGGCCCACAGGGCGGGGAACGTCCACGAGACCCGACTCTCGTGCCTCGGTCCCGATATTCCTCCTCCTCCCCCTCTTCCTCTTCCTCCCCATCCTCTTCCTCCTCCTCCTCCTCCTCCTCCTCCCCCTCCTGCTTTTCCTTCTCTCCTTCTCTTACTCCTGCTCTTCCTCCTGCTCCTCTCCTCTTCCTCCGCCTGCTCCTCCTCCTGCTTCTCCTGCTCATCCTCGTGCTGCTGCTGCTGCTCCTCCTCATCCTCCTCTCCCTCACCTCGTCCAGGAGCCTCGTCCTGGACCTCTCACGGAGTTCCCCCGGGAGTCCCCTGGAGGCTTCCTGAGGCCTGCGGAGGCCTCCGTGGGGCCTCCCCGTGGAGGTTTCTGGTTGCTCCCAGGAACACAGGGAGGGCCAAAGGCGTCCAAAGACCCCGGACCTCGAGACTCGACCCTCCTCGATATTGGGCCTCAAAGTCGACCCAGCCTCCTCCTGCTGCTTCTCCTCCTCCCTCTTCCTCCTCTTCCTCCTCATCCTCCTCCTCTCTTCTCCGCCTTCCCCTCCTCCTTCCTCCTCCCTCCTTCGCCTTATCATCCTACCCCTCCTCTTTCTGCTCCCCCTCCTCCTCCTTTTCCTGCCCCTCCCCTCCTCCTGCTCCTCCTCCTACTCGTCGTCCTCCTCCGCCTCCTCCTCCTGCTCCTGCCCCTGCTCCTCCGGGGGTGCGTTTCGACCAGAACTTCGGGGCGGATCCAGCCGCGGCGCCCCAGGCCTGTGCGCCAGGCGCGCCACGTGCGCCAGGCACGCCAAGTGTGCCAGGTGCGCCAGGTGCGCTCTCTGCAGGGGCCTGTGCCTGGAGACCTGTTGGAACCGCCAGGGCCACCCACCCCTGGAGGACCCCCCCTGCTTGGGCCCCCTGGCCCCCACAAGCCTGGCACAGCTGCCTGTGCGAGGGCCACCTGTGGGGCAGGGCCCTCCGCGAAACTGTTGTTGACAGATTAGGGCATTATGTTTTTCATGGTGGCGCCCAGAACGGCCTTCCATATACAGATTACCAACTAATCTATATACAGGGGGACCCACTCATATACATATTGCCAATCAATCTGTAGATAGGGGGACCAGGGTCATATACAGATTGCCAACCAATCTGTAGATGGGGGGGTGCCAGGGTCATATACAGATTCCTTAATTTTGTGGATGGGGACCACTGTTGCCAACGAGTGCCCTTCATCTGTAGATGGAGCCTTTGGCCGCCAAGGGGGTAATGGAGGTGCGGGGGGCGGGGGGGGGGCAGGGGAGAAGGATAACGGAGGAGGGGGAGGCGACTGGAGGGAAGGTGGAGGAGGGGGGGAACACAGAAACTGAGGAGGCATATAAAAAACGCACAGGTGAATGAGAATAGCGAGCGGGGCGGGGAAGAGGTCGGGGAGGGGAGGGGAGGGAGGGATGAGGGGAGGATGGAGGGGAGGGATGGGAGGTATGAGGGCGGGGGGGGAGGGATGATGGAGGGGACGTAGGGATGAGGGGGGGAAGGGGGGATGAGGGGAGGAGGGAAGGATGGGGGAAGGAGGGATGGGTGGGGAGGGGTGAGGGAAGGAGGGATGGGGGGAGGTTGGGAGGGATGGGGGGATGCAGGATTGAGGGCTGAACGCGGGACGAGAGGAGGAGGAGGGGGGGAGGGAGGAGGGAGGGGAGGTAGGGGCGGCGAGGTACGAGAGGCCAGGGGGGAGGGGAGGGCAGGATGAGGGCAATGATGATGATGATGATGATGGCGGTGGTGAGGATGAGGATGGGGAGGGAGATGAGATGAGGAGGCCGGGGGAGATGAGCACAAGGGATGAGGCAGAGGAGGGCGGATTCGGAGGGGTAGGAGGACGATGGAGACCTGAAACGGTGACGAGAGCGAGGACAGGGAGGAGGGGGCCATGGGCAGCAGCAGCGTCGGGAGGGATACAGAAGAACGGATAGGCGGAGGACGGGAGGAGGAGCAGAACGTGGGGAGGGCAAGCACGATGGAGGGTATGAAAGACAAGGGGAGGGGGATTGGAGGGGAAAGAGACTAGGGCAAGGGAGGGGATGGACGGGGGAGCGAGTAGTGCGCAGGATGATGTCCTGAAAGCGGGAGAGGAGCCTGATATCTTTACAAATCCCAGCTCTCATCCCGCAGAGAGCGGTCATATGCCCGAGCCAGATGCAGCACGCTGCGCGCGCCGACAAAAAGGCCTGGGCAGTGCAGACAGCGCGGAAGCGCCGCGCGCACGGTTCGCACATCGTTACAATCTTCACGGGCAGTTGTCGGCCAACACTCTCGCTGAATCTGTTTTTGGCGGTGGGGGGTTTGTGGAAACTGTTGGAGACAGTTCATGCCAATCTGCTTTTCGTGTCGCCCCTTTCGGGGCACTCTTCGGCTACAGCCCCCGTGGGGCGCCCAAGGGCCCTACTCCGATCCGGGAGATCCGTGCGGACCTCCGACGGTTGATGTTTACGTAGCTTGTTTTTCTCCCTCCTTTCCGCGCCCAGTCCTCCTTCCTCCACTCTGTGTGCCTCAGGTGCCTCCCCCAGCTGGCGGGGGGAGCTGGGTGCCCGCCGCCGGCTTCCTCGGCTCCACGCACGGCTTCGCCGAGGAGGCGCTGGCGGGGTGAGAGGGGGGGGGGGGCAGGGGGAGTTGATGGAGGGCATGAGGAGGTGGAGCAGCAACAGGAGGAGGAGGGATGAGCGAGGAGAAGGAAACGGAGGAGGAGACAAGGGGGTGGCGGAAGGGGAAGGGAGATAGAGGGCGGGAGGGAAAACTAGGTGCGCGCGCGCCATATCTGTTGCCCTCTCCCGCCCATCCCTTCCCATTGCGCTGATTTGTTTAGGTTGACGGAGGGAAGACAGGGGAGAGGGGGACGGGTTGACGTCTAGGCAGGACGAAGAGGCATGGAGGGGGAACGGAGCGGAGGGTACGGGAGGGGAGCACAAGATGGGGAAAGAAACGGGGAAGGAGCCAAGTAGACGAGTTGTAGAGGGGGTTGGAGATGAGTGTGTGTGCGAAAAAATGTAGAATGGGTAGACTACTTGTAGAGTTGTAGGGAGGAAGGGGTGAAAGAGTCGAACTTCGGGAGAAGGTCTCGAGTCCCATGTGTAGAGTCTGTTCGCAAGACATTCATAAGAATCCATTAAGGTCTTACTGCGACTGTGGGCCATCAAATCGATCTCTCGGTGAGACATATCCCAGTTTACTTTGGATGTCCTGCGGCTTCCTGCGGAATTCGTCAAGCTTTTAGTAGGGTTGTCCAGGAATTCCTGAGGACCTGGTCAGGCATCCAGAGAAGATCGTCGGGAGAGTGGAAATCTCAAATACTATGTGGGGAGGTCCCTCATCTGACGGAAAGCGGGCGTAGCGTCGCGATCCGTTACTCGGGAGAAATAACAGGGGGGTGGGGGGGGGCAGGCAAGGGGCGTCCCAGGTGACGGAAAGCGCGCGTAGCGTGCCATCCGTTGCTGGGAAGGCCCAGGTTTCATGGCCCATTTCCTTCGTACGTGTTCGAGTGAAGCGGTTCCCGGGCGGCTCCCATGGCCTGTTTTCTTTTTGACGTTTTCGGGTGAACCGGCTAGGAGGGCCCCAACAAGGTCCAAGAGGGCCCCAAAACAGCCTCAGAGGGCCCCAGGGCGATCCCAAGAGAGCTTCAAATAGAGTCTGGAGATGGCTCCAGAGGCCCTCACGAGGGCCCCCGATAGGGCCTCGGGAAGCTCCTCCCTCCCTCCTCCTCCTCGTCATCCCGCCTCCTCCTTTGCTTCTCCTCCCTATTCCTCAGACCCCGTTCGTCGTCGAGGAGGAGGGGGAGGAGCGAGGAGGAAAAGGGAGGAGGAGGAGGAGGAGGAGGAGGAGGAGGAGGAGGAGGAGGAGGGGGAGGAGGGGGAGGAGGAGGAGGACAAGGAGGAGGAGGAGGAGGAGGAGGAGGAGGAGAAGGAGGAGGAAGATGAATGATTGTCCTTTGAGGTTTTCCAGCCTCCAGGTATGGCGGGATGCTTTCCTGCAGCTGCGCCTCCCCGAGAACGCTGCGGGAGGACTCGGATCGTCCCGAACGGCCGCCGGTGACCCGAGTTGTGACCCGACTTGGGGGGCGCGTGCTGGGGGGGCGATGAGTGGGGGGGCAGCGAGGGCTGCAGAAGGGGGCCTTTCAGGTGCTCTTGAGGTCCCCAGAAGGGCCCTGAGGGTCCGAAGAGGTCACCTTTCTCCCCTGATGGGCCTGTTTTCCACCATCACCACCATCAGTTGGATGGGGGGGAGGAGGAGGAAGGAGGAGGAGGAGGAGGAGGAGGGAGGAGGAAGAGGGAGGAGGAGGAGAGTGGAGGAGGAGGAGGAGGAGGAGGAGGAGGAGGAGGCGGAGGAGGAGGAGGAGGAGGAGGGAAAGGCATTTGGCTGAGGAGGGCGCCCCTTGGGTGTAGGGGGTACCCTGTCCGGCCTGCCTCACGCGTGGCCCCCGCCGCGGGCCCGCGCGCCATCGGCTGCCGTGGGCGCCAGCGCCCGCCGCCGCCGCCCGACGAGGCGCTCGCGCAGTCGCGGGCCAGGTTGGCATAGGCGACAGCGCCGTGCCCGCCACGCAGCCAGGCTCCTGCTCAGTGCTATTCAGGCCCGAGATCTCCTCTCGAGCCACCACAGTGCTCAGCAGCCACGGCGTACCTCGTCAGAGATGTCAGGAAAAAAGCCAGGGTGGACATGCGGGCAGTGCCACACACACGTAGATGGGCGGCTATGGGAATGCTCATCGTGTGGATGTCAGTTTGCGGATCGAGCTCGACGCAGTCGCCAGCCAAGCCGCCATCGCCAGCAGTCCCAAGCTCGAGCCCCAGAACGAGAATACAGCAGGCCACGACAGCCCTGGGTATCGGTTCAGCCCAAGGCAAGGCCGAACGATCGAGATCGCAGGGACAGGGATCGCAGGGACAGGATCGCGACCGAGAGCCCAAGCAGGACAAAGAGGCCCACGAGATGCACAAAACTCTAAGCAAGTACCTCGACAGAATCGTCCCAGCCACACAGGCCTATGCAGAAGCACACCCTCAGTGGTTAGAGTGGAAGAAGCCAGAGGACACACGGCATTTCCGTGCATATCGCGATCGTCTACACAGCCGCATGCAGGCACTTGGCAAAATGGGAGTCTCAGCTGTCCGCGCCAGAAAGCCAGACGACGAAGTCAAAGAGGAGTTAGCCATGTTGAAATACGCGGCCAATCAGCTCAAAACGCTCAATGATCAACGACAGGAAGCAGTGGAACGTCTAGCCACAGCGAAAGAAATGTTGCACAATACATATGCGAGGATCAATTTGCTGGAGACACAGGCCGAAGAGCTAGCTGCGAGACGAAGCCGACGATCTCAACCAGGCTCTCACGGAGATCGATGGCAAGATCGCGAACGAGATGGGAGATTTGATCGAGCAGGCGCCCATGCACACGGAGGAGGGAGGCGGAACAGCCTCGGAGGCAGCCAGAATTCCGCCGTCAGCGCCCCCATCGGGTCCGCCTCCGAGAGCGCCGCAGCAGCAGCATGGTGCAGAAGCCAGCATCTATATGCAGGAGAACAAGGCCCTACGATAGGCAAATGCTCAGATGCACGCAGTCCAGGCTCAGATGCAGCAGCAGATGCAACATATGAGTGAATTCATGAGCGCCTATCTCCCACAGGGAATGTCAGCGCCTGTTGGACCGTGTCCTACCCCAGGGACGCCAGCAGTGGGGTTTCCCCAAACGCCCCCACAGCACGGGGGCGCGCAGCAGCAGCAGTCAGCTCACGCTCTCCCACCAGGATCGAGCACGGGCTTCACGGATGCAGAACTAGGGGCGGTGCTGGCCAGGCTGCGCCAGAACGTCGGACGCGCTCCTGTCTTTCAGCAAGGAGGAAGTGGGCCCCAGTACCAGGTGATGATGCTGAGACCAGCGGGGGCTCAGCCCGAGATGCCGACGACGAGAGCTGCAGCCAAAGCAGTACCTCCGCCAACAGCACCACCAGCAGTACCGACAGTGCCGCAGCAGGCGTCGGCAGCAGCCATCCCAGTTCCGGAAGAGAGTCATGAAGCAGCCAGTCAAGAGGACAATACTTTTCCAGGGCCGACACAGGTGCGGGGTCAGCCAGAGACGCCCTGGGAGGATCCAGCTTCCTTCGCGCCGACCCAGGTCGCAGGAGGTCACTCGCAGGAGTCGCCACTTCTTCAGGGAGCTCAGTCTTCGCTCGACCCCAAGACAGGCCAGATGAAAGTTCAGCTGGTCGAGCACAAGGCAAAGACAGCCCCCGAAGCATTCGAGCAGCCGCCTCACAAGTATTAGATGACAGATGCAGGCCACGACGAATGCTAGTCAAATTTGGAGAAGTTGAAGTTCACGAGTACTACCCGCGGGAGTGCTCATGCGCGACGGCAAGCATGCCGGCGCCAGCTCGTTCAGCGCCCACAGCGCGCTCATCCTGCTCGCCGTCGCGCACGGTGTCCACAGCTTCCTCACCTGAAGGCGCTTTCTCTCACGCCTGCCCGCAGCCCGAAGCATCGGGCATCGCTGCGCTGTCAGTCGTAGACGCATGTGCAACGACAGCGAGCCAAAATAATTCATTTACCGTGACAGCACCAGCCTTCGCTGATCACCAGACAGCCCTGGGTCCTGGGGGCCCCTCGCTGCCCGAATTTTCTTCCCTGCAGCTCGTGCAAGTCATCTCCGGGCAGGAGGCGAGTGGTCTGTCCGCCTCGTGTCTCACCCTCCCGTCCCCTCGCAGCTCTGCTGGAATAAGTGATGCTGCGGCCAGGGCGGGCCGCTTTGTGGCTAGAACCCTATCGGGACTAGCTCGCCCCTGGGCCATCGTTGCCATAGTCTGGGGCACTGACCATGCCTTAGACGACTGGCTAGGGCATTGCATAGAATGGGTAGCTGAGCAGATCAGGACCAGTGACACTGCACGTCACTTGGGCCTCACTGTCGGGCAGAGATACGATTCGGCAAGAGAGATATGCCAGGAGGCTTGGTGCCTCGCAGGACCGGAGCGTCGTCAATGCATACGCAGGCTTGCACGGCTGAAAGTTTATGACTCAGATGCTTGCCGCGCAGAGTTCGAGTTTGCCTGGGGCGCTGTCGCGCGTCAGTCAGGCAGAATGCGCAGGGAGGCGGGCATCCCCACTCCTTTTCCCAGGCAGTGGTACAATGATGCGGCCAGAGGGGCCCATCGTTTCTGGGAATCCTTTTTGCACGTCACAGACCCAGAGCCGAGTAATTTCTCACGACCGTCCGCGGGGCGCGCTCGCAGAGACGGCTGGATGCCTGCACGTCTGGCACCGCCGCACATGGATCCAGTGCCAGACCCTGGCTCGAGTCCCCAGTGCGATGGAGACATCATCGATCAGGGTCTAGTGCAAGACATCGCGAGCAGCGATTCGGACACTAATCTTATGCAAATTTCAACTCGTGCTTCTTCAGCCCCTGCTGTTGGCGCGCGCGGAAGCAAGAGCAGCAGCCAAGAGTCTCTCTTGACGCAGGCAGCCCGCTCAGCTTCCCATTTTCCCTTGCGCACGCCTATGACTGATGCTGTCAGCGCAACCCACGCGGGATGTGTTGGCAGCCCTTCTTCTGCGAAGGTCTTGGATTTATACCATCTCCTGGGC